TGCTAAAAGATGACTCTCCCCATTCATGTATTCCACCCAATAAGGAAGATGAGAAGTTGAACAAGTTAGAGGAAGTCAACCTGTAAGACTTCACTGTAGAATTACCACTGAAACATCTTGTCCTTCTTCAGAACCGCAGAAGAAAATTATTTCATCGGTTGATTTTGCAAGCATTACTAAATCATCCCCACTTCAAACTGCACGGAGATACGCCACCAAAGAGCCTTACAAATCCCTTTCTAATTCCACGCATTCAGTATTAATAGTTCTTTGTCCAAATCTTCGAATAAACATGCAGCGTGCGGCCTCACTTCTTTCAGGAAGAGAAAAGAACTTTAAATCCTTGCGTGTTGATTCACTGTTCCCATCATTCTAAAACCAGTAGGCCTGGTCCCTGACCCCTTTGAAAGAGCCACTCATATCTCATGGCTGAACTCCAGCTTGAGCTTAGCCTGGATTCTTCTTGCCATGAACAAAAGATGAAAAGCATTATACACCAAACCACACTACTTCCGCTTTGAATACACATTTAATTTCCTGACAGCTTATAAACTAATCCACTGGTTTATGAGCTAGAATTAATTAAAATTTGGTTCCTTAAAGAAATTCAGTATCCAAGTCATGCTTTTCTTCTAATAGAATCATGTTGAAGAAGTGATGACACAAATTCTTTGAGCTTACTGCACGGCACGTGCTAGTGGAAAAACAGAACTCATTCTGGTCTCAGCTGTTCTGACACAAGTTGAATTCATCCTAATTTGGTACCTACCCCTTACTGGTATTTAGAGATTGACGAGTGTCAAAACCAACAGTTCAGATAACTTACCAACTGGACTACTGTGAAGGAGAGTTAGTGTAGCTAACAGCCATAGGTCTTGAGCAGGTAAGCTGATAAAGCCTTTGGTTTTAAATCCAAGTATTTAGCTGCATGAGGGCTCTGGGTAATCACTTTCTCCACCTTCCTAATTCCCAGACTGTAAACTCAGTAACAACAGGGACTGTAAGATGCTTTAAGGCACTGCTGCCTACTACACACTGCAAACAAGGGATGAGAAACTAAGAAAGAAATAGACAAACTCCTTACATCCCCTTCAGGTCTTCTGCTTTTTTCCTCACACGATATTGCTGCGTTTGTAACAAAAATTCTAAGCTATAAATTATTGATAAGAAAAAAAAAATGCAAGAAAGTAGTACCTCTTTGTTTGAAGTTAATATAATTCAAATGCAGTTAAAAATTACATGGTTTTCTGGTATGTCAGTTCCAGATGTAATGACAAAGAAATCTCAGCTTTCTTGCATACTTTATTGTGTTTCCGTTTTCCTAAGAATAACACTCATAATTAATTTCCAAAGCAAGAACACTGTTTCTCCAGTAATCTCAGAGTAACAGCATAGCATAGGCTGGAATGGAATTTCAGAAGCCTCCTAGCAAAAGCTAGATGTGGTTGCAGAGGCCCTGCCCTGTCAGATGGACACTCTGTACCCTTGCCAGCCCTCTGCTCCTGTCTTTGATCATTTTCAGATTAACAACACATCAATAAGACAAAAACTCTTCATTGTGAGTAGACCAGCTTGTGTCCACCACCTTTCAGGGAATCATGGAGGTTGGAAGGGATCTTTGGAGATCATCTAGTCCAACCCCATGCAACAGCAAGCTTCCTACAGCAGGTCGCACAGGAAAGTGTCCAGGTGAGTTCTGAATCTCTGCAGAGTACACTCCACAACTCTCTGGGCAGCCTGTGCGAGCGCTCTGTCTTCCTTACAGCAAAGAAGTTTTTTCTCATATTCATATGGAACTTCCTGTGTCTCTCATATTACTGCTGCATACCTCCAAGCAGAGTATGCCTCATGCCTTCCCACAGCCAGCAGTGACATCTCCCCTTCCTTTACCTTCTCTTCCTAAGGCTGATCAAACTCACCTCACCCAGTTTCTCCTTTAACACTGTGTGTTCCAGCCCCTATCCGTGTTGGCCAGTCTCACAAGCGCTGAACAGAGGGGAAGATCCACTGCTTCAACCTGCTGTCCTCCAACCACATTCTTAATGCACCCTTCAGTGTGCCTGCCCATCTTCTTCTGCAACAGCGCGCTGAGCCTCACATTCAATATCATGAAGTCTTTTCTACACAGCTGCTCCTCATCACATCACAGACTCCTGACAGCCTGGAACACACTCCTGCGAGTGTCTAAAATATAGCTCAGTTTGAGCAAAAAAAGCCCAAGACAAGACTGTGTCATTACATCAGTAATTTAAAATTTAAAAATTCAAAAATTAAAATTATATCCTTATTAATATTTACATTTTTTACATACTGGCCCCAAACTGGAATTAAAAGTAAATTATACATACCATTAACTTAGTGTTTGTACCTAATATGAAAACCACCTATGACTCTTACTGCTCAAAACAGTCCAGTATCTTCAAAATCATTTAAGTGTATCTTACATAAAGGATTAGTCTATGGCCTCTTGTTTGAATGTACTTCTCACAGAGTAATAGAGCCTGAGATGTTCCACTGGCCTGATCTTTATTAAATAAATACCTATATAAAGCACACAAAATCTTTATATAGCAACTCACTTCCTCTTTCAAAAAAGGAAAGGTCCAAGCAGCATACACTATCTTGTTTCATCATTTAAATTAGATAACGTAAGGGGCAAAAAGATTTTCACAGAATCATGGAATCGCCTGCATTGAAAAGGACCACAATGATCATCTAGTTTCAACCCCCCTGCTACGTGCAGGGTCGCCAACCACCAGACCAAGCTTTGTGTGAAAAACTTCCTCCAAATATCTAACCTAAATCTCCCCTGTCTCAGTTTAAAACCATTCCCTCTTGTCCTATCGCTATCCAAACAGTATTCCAGATGGGACCTCACAAGAGCTGAGTAGAGGGGGGAATATATATTTTCACATACATAATTCCCAACAGTGAAAGTATCAGTTTAATTCTGACAGTCACCCAGAACTTCCTTTGTGGCAGTGCACAGAAATCACATTCACACAGTTGCAGTCAATGAGAAGATTCTTACACTGTACAGTAACATATCACAAATTTCAGTAAATGCGGTTGCACGGATCAAATGTTAAGCTGCAAAGTGTCCTTTGGTAGGAAATATGGTAGGAAAAAATTCAGAATAAGCCTGAAGAGTTCTATTTACCCAAAGAAATGCAATATAATGGTCCTATTTGAAGCGAAGTCACTTCTGACACTTCAAACAATCAATGCCACTAAAAACAGTACCTCAAGCACAGATGACTTGTTTTAAGGGTTGTAAGGTCAAAAAGCTTTCTCCTTTTATCAGAAGTTTATATTCAAACAGTTAGAATACAGATGCTGGAAAGCAGAGACACACAGTAGCTTCCTCAGTAATATGTGAAGGCCCCAGAACCGAGTGGCAGTGAGCATTCACTGCTGTTCGCTAGGCTGAGCTCTGCAGTTAGCGAGGAACATGCTCCTGTGGTGAGGTACAGCCACCATGCACTTTGGCTCTGAAGTTCCATCTTTCCCTGCTGGCTGTGACAGGGACCTGAGGCTAAAATACAGTATTGTGACCTGTCCCAAAGCACTGACAAAGCGACACAAAAACACATCTATGCTAATGGGGCTGAGAGCTATATGCAGGGGGTCTCCTGTGGAACCACCAGAATTGGTGACTGTACCCAACAGCGTGCAGATCCCAGCGGGTCACAACCCTGTGGATCACCTAGCAAGGCAAACACCACCCAGATAGAGCAGTGGGCACACAGCTGCATGTGAGGAGACCCCAGCAAACCCTGGGCTGCCCTTCCAGCTCTCTGCCAGCCACAGAAGGCCAGACAGCACAGCCACCTATTCATCCAGATGGATACCAAAGGCACGAGACCAACACGTCAGCATTTCTGGAGCAAAGCTAAACAGGAAGAGCGAGTTCCTCGTGGATTAACAGCCACCATACGCGGCCAGAACATACTTCAACCCTCAATTAGAGCCCTACTTCTGACTTGTCCGTATTCCCGGACTACAGCTGCAACAGGTGACCAAGGGCAGAGCTTCCTGCACCCTGCTTACACAGGCAGCAAGGTGGGGGAGCGAAAACGGGTTCCAAGAGAACGATTACGTCCTACATCAAAGCTGCAGGTGGACGACTCCGCTTTCTTTCTGCCAAGCGAGACCGCCGTTTATCAAACCTGGGGGAACACAGCGCTCAACCACACACCGCACTGTTTTAGTCGCACGCTGCCTGTCCCGTCCCTCTCACCCCTCCGAGGGAGGGCCAGCCCCTGCCCGCTCCAGGGACGCCACACTCCCAGGAGGAGAGAGGGGAGGTCGGACACGCCGCCCGACCGGGACGAGCCCCGGGGCCTCTCAGAGGGACGGTGGCCCACCCGAGGCCTACACCGCGGCTGCGGGAGCGGAGCGGCTGAGACCTCCGCCCCGCGTGCTCCCAGCCCCGAGGCGGGCTCCTACCGTACGGAGGATCCGCGCTCAGGCCCCGGCCCGGCCTTCCCCTCGCTTCTGAGGCGAGCGAAGCGAAACCGAAAGCAGCCGGACCGCCATCGCCGGAACCTGGCGGCCGCTCCGGCCCCTCCCCCCTCGTCCCCTTCTTCCCTCCTCCCCCGTCGGTGCTCCCGCGTCCCACCGCTGCGGCCCCTCACGAAGTGGCGGCCGTGCTTGGGATGCCGCCACGCTGCGCTCCTCCTTGGCGGTGCGTTGCGGGCTCCGCGTGACGCACACATACGCATACACACATACGCATACACATACACACATACACATACACACATACACATACAAACCTTGTGTCTGAGATCAGTGTCCAGACGCTCCATGAACTCCAGCCCTTGGGGCCGTGCCCACAGCCCTGTGCAGCCCGTTCCATGCCCACCGCCCTGTGGTGCAGACCCTTTCCCTGACCCCCAGCTGCCCTCCCCTGACGCAGCTCCATGCCGTTCCCTGTCGCTGTCACACAGAGCAGAGCTCAGCGCTGCCCCTCCGCTCCCTGTGAGGAGCTGCAGCCGCCATCAGGCCTCCCCTCAGCTCCTCTGCTCTGCGCCGAGCCAATGGAGGGACCTCATCTGTTGTTCATACATCTTGCCCTCCAGACCCTTCCCCATTTTTGAAGCTCTCCTTAGGATGGGACAAAAGCAGCCCAGGTCATACCGGTGAGATTCTACTCCCCTGTCGCCGAGTCCTTCTTTGCTTACATTATTCAGAAAGTAAGTAATGAAAATTCTAATTTGAAAATAAGTGAATTCTGTTTGTATCTTGCACAGATAATCAGTTGCTATCCCAGTATTCCAACCTCTGGCTAGCAGAGCTGCTCCTCTATGTAGGTGTACTGACAGCACAGGTTTCACTTACACAGAGCAAATATCCAAGGGCAGCCTGCTGTCACTTCTGGTCATTTTGCCACCTCTCAATAGAGATAACTATCTGTTAGTTGAACTATCTGGCTATCTGACAATATCTCTATAGCAACAATTAATGAGGATGCAGTGCCACTATTGGCATAGAACATTTTTTAACTGTCCTCAATTGTACTGAGAGAACTGACGAGTTTAAGTTGATTTTTATGTTCTGAACAAGCTTTATGTTATCTGTCCATCTGTCTGTCATTCCATATCCCTTGGACTAGTTGTGATGTAGTTTGGAGAAAGTTATTCTGCTTATTTAAGTTTTGTGGAAATTGGAATTTAAACCTAAATTTGTTTCCTCAGCCAGAGAAAAGCAGGCAAGAACATCAGTTCCTACATATTCTTCCTAGCAGCGATCAGCCTTTCAGTACTTGTATATCAGCCATCCACTTTGCATACACATCATTCCAGAGTAATAGATGTGATTGTTGTAGGGCACATGAAGAGGAAATCATAGTTACTACAATTAAAATTGTTTAGGGGCTAAAGAATCCAAATCCTCAGAATCCATAGCCTTAATTAGTTCTGTTGTTCACAACATGGCTGGAGAGCGCTAAAGTACAAAAAAAAGTACTAAAAATGTTTACACTGCTTATATATCTAAAAAATGGTAAAGATAATTTGATCTGTCATAGCATAACCAGTTTGATATGGGTACTCTGGAAGAAACATGGAAGTGCTGATCTGGGGTGCAGTCATTGAATACACGTAATTAAATGCTGCTGAATACACTTTTATGGAAAAGATTAGATTAAATACACTTGAGTATAATTTTAGTTCATAAAGGTAATAGTGTTGATTTAATAGGTTTCATCTAAGTTAGAACTGTATGCCGTTTTCACAAATACAGCATAGACTAAGTCTGTAGTTCATCGCAAGTGCATTAAAAACTGATTCAACTTGGAGCTCTCAAGAGAAGTGACTGTAAATGAAGTTTTATCATATGGATGTGTTTTGGGGAAGCTTCTTCTTGGCTTGGTGCTATTAGCAATGACTTAGACAAAAATACAGAATTACAAATTACAAAGTTACGACTGCTGTTGTAAATAGTAGTAACAGTGACTAATGGTAATGTCATTTGTAAAAATATTCTTAAGACAGTCCACTTGAAGGCTGACATTCAAAATAAGGCCTCAGAGCCACCCTTGGAATCTGAAGGAGAGTGACTGGCATGAGGCAGCACTGACAGGAGTCTGGGCATTATGGTACATAATGGCACATGAACTCCCAGAATAAAACTTTTGCTAATACTCTAAAACAAACCTAGAGGAACATCAAATGCAATTGGATTGTTTTTTTGTGGGTTTTTTTTTTCCCCAAAGATATACTGTAGCTTAAGGACACAAAGTGGAAGTTTTGATGCAAAATATATAGGCAGATATTCTGTGCAGTCTGATGTGGTGATGTTATGACTACGAAGTTATACTCTGCCTTTTCTGTCCTTAAATGCCTTGGCTCCAGAAGAAGACCAAGAAGTCTACGTATGTGGCAGCAAAAGAAGGAGTAGGATATCAAGGATGTTTCCAAAAAGAAAGATTTTTTTTTTTATGAGTGCAGACAGGCATTGTCTGAAGAGCTCCTTGCACATCTCATTGTGCTCACAAAGTTCAAACCTGACTGTCCAGTTTTGCTACTGTTGTTAATGTGATCTCCCAGACAACCAAGCTGTGACTTCCTAGAATTCTGTACTTCTTCAAGGAAAAGAAATGACAATGCAAAATGCTATGACAATCATATAAAGATCTTCAAAGGAACAAGAGTTCCACCTTCAGGTCTGGGAAAATACTACCTCTGATGGCAAAAGATACCTCAGAAAAATTGTCAAGTGCAGATGGAGGTGGACTTGCTGAATGAATTACAGGCAGACTCAAACTTGTATTGCATGTCTGTGGTCAGTTTTGTAGGGCCTCTTGTAGATCTGATGACTATGTATTCTCATTGAGTTATCAGAGAAGCTGTTCTGTATCATCAATGAAGAAAAATGATCATGAAGACTCCTAGGAGAGTAGAGAACAGCTGCACATCCAACTGAGGAAGAGCTTCCACAAGTTCATTCTTAATCCTCTAATATATGAATTGAGAGGCAGGATCCAGATAAGCGATTCATTTAATATGGTTTCTTCACTTAGTCTTACTGCTCTGTGCTCAGCAATCTTTCCTTTATGTGCAGTCTCTGAGATAACTCATTCTAGGGATGGCATTTCAGCATTACTCAATAAAAACAGAACTTCCCAGATACTTACATTATGTTCCCAAAGATAGATATTTTTCCAGTAGAGCATTTCAACATTCTGTTGCCTTTTTAATGCATTGTTATTACAGATAGACTGTTTTCTCTATCAAAAGACTTGTGCTGGCAAGAGCTGGTAATAAAGCTTCCATTGTGTCATGGAAAACAGTCTTTACAACTGAGCCAACATTGCTCTCTCCCACAGTCTTTAAGGAGCGCAACATGGTTCAAATTGAGATCTTCTTCTAACATACTTCCCTGACAAAACCAAACTTTTTCAATGATTCTTCATTTCTTGATTTCTTGAGGAATATGTGGCAGCATTTTCTGAAACTGTCTTCATGATCTAAATAAAATCCTGTGTGTTGATTTGAGGGGAAGATGTTAGCTACTGTTAACAAAAGCTGTGTTATAGCTTTGGGATTGGTAGAAATCTGATACAATGCATTTTAGTGTAATTTGCTTCAAAACCAATTCACATTTGGTTGAGAATCACCTGTATGATATTGCAGAAAGGTCCCCCAAATGATAATGAAGCAGAAGAGGTTTCCTATACATTAATATATTTGTCAAAACAATTACACTGAGTTGAGTGTGAAAGGAAGAGAGAAATCTATTAGCACTTTAAAGCAGCTTTTATTTGGAGATAAACATTTCCTCTGGCTCACATAGGTTATTTTTGTCTTTTCCAGCATATTGGCAAGTCTCACACTGTGATTTCCATGTACGGTTTACAGCAGCTGCCCCAGAAACAATCACTCAGGAAAGTTAGTGGCTACAGAAACTACCCACAACACCTGGACCACAGCAGAATTTCCCTGCTGACAAGAGCATCGGCTGCTGGTGAGAGCTCACACCTAGGGCATTCCTGGAACACACATACATTGCTTTGCCTGGGGAGCCTGAAATGGCAGAGCTCCTCCTGTGCTTCCCAGCAGTCCACCAACAGGCATAACCAAAAGAGATACAATTTCAAAAAAAAAAAGGTACTGCTAGATTTGTAGCTGAAAACTGCCACATGACTGCAATTTAATGAAGACCCATCCTTTTTTCCCAACACTTTCTCATTGCCACTGGATCTGTAGGAGCATTCTCACCCTTAAAACTAACAATCACCTTTCATTACAGCAGTGATATGTGAAATATTCTTGGTTTCACTTGGAAGGTCACATAAGCAGTTTTACTTTACTGCAGGAGAAGGTTGAACCAATTTGATTAAAAATTGTTTAGCAGGATTGTGTTTTGCGCCCATCTGTCTGTTGTTATAGGGTTGATCTAAGTCAGTATCAGCTCAAGACAAATCCCTACAAATCACCCTAATTGAAAAAGGAGTTTCCACGCAAGACACTTTTAGCAAGTGAAGTAAATGTTCATTCATGTAAGACCTTAGAAATTCTGTATCAAATCTTAGTGCCTTTCAAGTCAGTGGTAAAATTTATCATGGTAAAGACTTCATTCATCGTCCAGATCATAACATTTCTGAATGCAAGAAGGTACAAACCATAGTCAGGAAAAGAAAAAAAAAAAAGAAAAAAAAAAAAAAAAAAGAAGAAGAAGGTGGTGAATCAGCTGAGCAAATATTTGTTTTTACAATTCATCCACCATACTTACTAGTAAACATTTATTCTGTAAAACTATTCAGGCTTGGGAGAGGTATTCAGAATGCCTTTTAACTTCAGACCAGAGGTGTCACATCATGGGCTTGCATTCATAAACAGATCTGATTAAAATGCTTTTGAAGCATTTTTAATTTTTCTTTCTTCATTAGAAAAGTAATTCTGATCCTGCTGCTTCTCTAACGCATGCAGATATGAACAATGGTCTGGTTAATAAAAATTCCAGGGAATTTTAGGAATAAATTAAAAAGTAGAAAATCCACATTTTTCACTGACTGATTTGAAGTCTTTTAAGACTTCTGGAGTAGTCTCTGCCTTCTTTGCTTCATCTCCTCCCTCTTACCAGATAATCAGAAGGACAGTACATTGTTTAGCTCTGCCAAGAAGGTTGTTCCTGATCAGAGAAGAGGTGAATAGGGGTTTAGCCTGGCTAGTTTGGATTATGGGACATTTTGTAGAATCGTAGAATCACAATGGCCTGGGTTGAAAAGGACCACAATGATCACCTAGTTCCAACCCCCCTGCTATGTGCAGGGTCTCCAACCAGCAGACCAGGCTGCCCAGAGCCGCGTCCAGCCTGGCCTTGAATGCCTTCAGGGATGGGGCATCCACAACCTCCTTGGGCAACCTGTTCCAGTGTGTCACCACCCTCAGCGTGAAAAACTTCCTCCTAATATCTAACCTAAACCTCCCCTGTCTCAGTTTAAAACCATTCCCTGGAAAACATTTCCTGGAAATTCTTTTTTCTGGAGATAAAAATTTATTAGATTGTTTTTGATTTAAAATCTGTGTCAGTCTTCAAGTAGAATCTTAAGTTAATCAGGAATTTCCCAGTTAATTTCCCACCTTAATTAATCTTTGTACAAGGGCCTTGTATGCCATCTAGCTTTGTATTGTCTTCAGGAGTGCTCACAAGTTCATAATGAGGGGAAAGGAAGAATAAGGCAATCGTTCCACCTTAACATTCTCCAGCCTTTGACTTTTTTTTTACATTTCGGGTATCCTGAACCAGGTGTGCTTTGTTTCCCTGTTAACTCCTGTGCGTGCCTGTTTCATGTGTTCACCCAGTCTTCCCTGCAGATGAAGTAGAGTTCTTTCAGCCACAGAGCTCTTTGACAAGGATTTTCACACATTTGCTACCCTGTGCATTACTAACCTAACTCTTTCTGGCAAATGATTCCAGTCTACCCTCTCCATGCTATTCAGTATCAGGTAGATCTCATTTCTGCCCTTAGTTGTCATTCTGGGAGCCTGAAATATCCTGGCTTTTTCAACCACTCCTTCTGGACCCATTAGTATACATATTTTATCATCCTTTTTGGTTTATTTCTTTGGGCCTTTTCCAGTTTTGATATTACTGTTTTATTTTATTTTCTTATTTATTTTAGATGAGGGAAACAGAACTGCACGCTGTATTTATTTTGTTTGCGTAAGACAGATTTATTCAATCTTGCAGTTGTATTTTTGTCTTGTTGTCTGTTGTTTTCCTAATACTTCCTATCATTTGATACATTTCACCTTTTTTGTTTGTTTTTTAACTGTGTCTGAAAAGTTCTCCTGGAAGTCTCTGCTGTAACCCCAAGGTGTTACTTGGCTACTCAATGGCTGTCTACGTAGCTTAAGAACTGTCCAGAGGTGCACTGAAAATGATTGAAAGCTGCATAATAAATAGTGAAATTCTACAGATAAGTCTTTTCACTCACAGACAAGAAATTCACACTAGAAGGAGGCAGGGTGAGTCAGAAGTGAAGAGCAGGAATGTCGAGTGAATACAACATCTCTTACTAGAATGTAACTGTCATTTCTAATATGTGGCAAGTGGTGTCCAATCTTAAATGTAACTGAAACATCATCTTAATAAGTCATAAAATATAATTTATCAAATCAGAGCCCTGTTTGGTCCTGCACTGCTTTATTTCTGTCTTACACATCTTCTACTAACCGTCAGTTTCTTTCTATCTAGGGAACCCCATATGACCTAGATCTTTACAGTGATGCTTGCTGGTATTATCTTGAAAAGTGTAAGCTGCTCATGGCAGAAGTCAGACCCTTTTCTCTGAAAGACACAGAAAAGGAAGATAGTCATTTACAATTAACTCCATCAATGTCTCCTTCTTGGTAGGTCTAAACCACAAGTTGAAATGCTGACATAATATAAATGGCTTAGGTTCAGATGTCAAACTTGTTTCTTTCTGCCTTGCTAGGTTGTTTTGCTGCAGAGGTGCTCATCAGCATTTCTCGAAAAGAAGTATGGTTTAGTGTCAAAGCTGCAAAGGTGCAGAGGTGAAGGATATCAAGTCCATTGCAAAGTTATCTTTTCACTTCCTACCTCGCAGGGAGTGTCTTTTATACACTGAAACTGTGAAGTTCTCAAGAGCTGCAACCATGGAGTGAAGATGCTGCATAAACGAATATACATGATCCAAAGAGTCTTAGATCTCCAGTGAGGGTATTCTTTCAGTGGTTTTTTTTTTTTTAATTATTCTTCTTTGATGTTTGAATCTTACTCTATTTACTTTTAATAAAGCAGTAACATTGTGAAGCGCTGAACTTCAGTCTTACTGAGACTGAGCTCAGAGAAAGAAAGAAAGCCTCTAGAGCCTATTTTAGTTTAAAATGTAATTGAAAGTTTGTATTTCTTGATGGGTACTTTGGGAGACATGTTCAGCCAGCTATGTGGAGAATTAGCCATGCAAGTCCCATTACTGCTAATGCTACTACTAATTTCCTGCACATTACACTGAATATTTACATCTTTGTGTAGTATTTAGGTGAGCCATTAAAATGCTGATTTCTTACTGTTGTAGTCATCCATCAAACAACAAAAAGCCATAATCTTGTGGGGAAAACAATTTTTAGTTAAAGATGTTTATTTTTAAAATACCATTATTATAATTTGAATTAAACCCTGAAGTATGACTAAAATTGCTTCATTTCTCACCTCAGAAATAGTAATTGGATTAATGTTCTGTGAGGTACTGTGAACAGAGATATTTGCTTTGTGTGCAAAAGCTTAAGAGGGCATTAACTTAATGCTTGGCTGGTGTAGTATGAGTTATTTTAGCAATTTTAAATCCAGGTGGCAAATCTGTCCACAGGATGGATTTCAATCATTTATGAGTGGATCTTCTACAACAGTCACAGATGGGTGAATCACTGGGCAAAAGCCCTTCAATTGGTGTGTGGCTGTATTTGGCAACTTTGCATAGCAATAGCATCATTTGACTAATCCTATCAGATCCCATTTTCAGTGTGTCTAACTGCTTTATCTTGAGGGTCACCTCTTGAGTTGGACAGCAATTCCAAAGTGAATAGGATGGAGGTGATGAATACAAAACAGTTCTTAAATGCCTCAGGCCTCAAAAGAAACTAAGACATCATTTCTGTGGCTCTAAGCACAAAGTCTGCTATGCAACTTTCTTTTACAAGTAGTTTCTTAGATCTCTTAGGTATTCTTCAAAGTAGGAATTTTTAATGTAGCTCTTTTTCTTAGATTTTTATTATTAATTTTATTTTTTCATGACTATACTGATTTCTGACTTGTCCAGTCTCTTGCTGTGTCTCTTCTTCAATAGCAATCCTTGTCATCATTTTCCCAAGTGATACAGTGAAGTACTAGAGGAGGGGGGATCCAGTACCTCAGCAGGTCACCTCCTTGTCCTTTCCCAACCTCTATTCCAGTATGTGAGACTCATCCTCAAAGCTCTTTACCTTTTCCACTGTCCAAATGCCCTGTCTATGTTGCTCTCTGACAGACCTAGGAGCCCTGCAGCAGTGCTAAAAGCACTCATAAAAACATGTAGCAGTGATATCAGTACTGTAAGGAGAGGAAGAGGTGTTAAAGATGGACATTCACAGCTACCAAGAGCTGAAGCAAAGGACACTCAGATGAAGCTGGTGACCACCGTGCCAATGTTGTATGTAAGTCACCAAAACTCTTCATTTGAAAATGCTGAGATAGCACAGAATCATTAAAGTTGCAAGAAACCACTAAGATCACCTAATCCAAACATGCTGGTGTGTGTTGCATGAAATGCAGAAATGTGTTATACATCTAAGGCTATTTTTCTGATGGAGCTTAATTCCAGTCAGTGCCATAGGTCTGTCCATGAATTGCAAGGGAATGATGCTTTCCACTGCCTCTGTTTGTATTATCAGTTCCAGGTGGGAAGTAATGTTCTAACTCTCTTTGCAGCACTGCCCTAGACTTTCTGGACCCATTCAACA